TTATCATCCTTAACTAGACATTTCCTGGCTTCTGTTGCCTTTGGGTCATTATCTAGCAGTAGTTTCTGGTACTGAATATCCTTGTTTGTTGTTTTTAAAAGCACTAAATCTTTCATGAAAGGTTGTAGTGGCTTCTGGTGAGATTCAAATCCCCGGCCATCATACAATTATGTAATTGGAAATGTGTCCTATCATAGGAAAATAGTTGGCAGCAAAGTGAGCAAGGAAAACAGCAGGCAGACAGTTACACAGCAGATAACTTTGCAGATTCTCAGGGTTTTCAAGTGTTTTTGTTTGTTTTCTTTTTGGTGGGAAAGGAATGTTGAGGTTGGGAAAAAGGATTGAAGAATGGAAGGTGGAAACAGCAGAAGCAAAAACACAAGGCCATATTGGACTACTCACCTGCCAAACTAAGGGTGGGAATTTCAAGAGCGTTTGGTGCTGCGTTGACGTCAGTGGGAGCAGAGTTAGGCCAAAGATGCGTATTTCTGAGAATCCCACACATAACTGTGTGCAGTAGATATTGGTTAACATTTTCAAAAGTGCTTAAGTCCCATTTTCAAAAGCAACTTAGGCTGGAATTTGCCAAGAGATTTAGGCACCAAGTTCTCATTGAAATCAGTAGGAGTTAGGTGCCCAAATACCTTTTTGAATCCCACCCTTAGGCTTCTAAGAGTCAGTGAAAGTTGATGGCATTTAGGCTTCTAAGTCACTTAGGTGCTTTGGAAAATATACACAACTGATAGCTAACTTCTCTCTTTGAAAGAAATGTTAAGTCTTTAAAACATAATCCCTTCCCCCAAATCTATGCACTTCAGCACCTTAGGACAGAAATGCTGACACAGCCTTCTACTAGTGTGAATGTGAATGAAGTACTATCAAAAAGGATCACTTTGCTTTTTCTTGATTTTCACTTTACACTCCCTCTCCCCTTCCTGGAATCATAAATATGCTAAATATTTGAGCTGTTCCTAGCTTTTCAGACAGCAGGGACAGTGCAATACTTAGATTCTCCTAGATTTCAATTGCTTATAGGAACTGGCCCAGTGTCTGTAATAGAAAAGGGGACATTTGTCATGTTAGCTCTCCAGCAGCTGAGTATGATCGGTTATCCAGGTAAATGTGGATCCCTTCTTAGTATGAACTCAGGTAGGGAGTATTCCCTCCCTCTCTGCATAGGCCTGCATTTACCATAGACCAGGGGTGGCCAAACTTACTGATCCTCTGAGCCACGTACGATAATCGAGGGCCGGGCGTGCTTGCTGGGGCTCGGGGCTTCAGCCCTGCGGTGGGGTGGTGGGGCTAGGGTCTTCTGCCCTGTGGGGAAGGGGGTCTCGGGGCTTCAGCCCCACAGGAAGCACTTGTCGGGGCTTGGGGCTCCAGCTCCACTCCTGCTGAAGCCCCCAGCCCCAGCAGGTATGCCCCGTGAGGCTGAAGCCCTGCCTGAGAGACCCCCTAGCCCCACCACAGAGCAGAAGCCCTGAGTTTCTCCCTGGCCCCTGACGAGTCTGGTAGGCGGAGAATGGGGGGTGAGGGGGAAGCGAGGGCCTCCACGAGCCTCATTTTAACTGTAAAAGAGCCGCATGTGGCTCATGAGCCGTGGTTTGCCTACCCCTGCCATAGACCTTGATGGGAGTTAAGCACACACAGAGAAGAGTACATCCACTGTATCTGTAAGTGAGGCATCTGCCTCTCTCCCTTCCAGCTGTCTTTACTGTTTACCAGCTGATTAGTGGGTATTACAAACTGGAATACATGCACAGACTCACCAATGGGACAGGTAGCTCATAAGGACACACCCATAGCAGTCATGGGGCTTTCCCTAGAGATAGCAAGGCACTAAAATGCACCCTTTTATGTCCAGTGACTGGCAGCCAGTCACAGGGAACTGGCCACTACTGCTGACTTCTGATGCCAGGGGACTGGCTCAACTAATCAGGGTAGGGCTGGGGTTGGAAATTAGAATTAAATGGGGGAGCCACAGTTCTAAGCCTGGGGCTGGGGGAGAGGGCTCTGCCTTTAAATACAACAATCCAAATGCAGGGAGTTCACATGCCACCAACATTTTAATGAGAGAAATAAACTCCCAACAATGCTTGTCTTTTTCTCTTCACTGAACTTTTCTAGGGAGAAAACCATCCTTCTAACCTTCACGGCTCGCTGATTAAAGGTCGTGCCTGAAATGTTTTCAGAAAAGAAAAAAAAATAGTTCTTTTTAAATGATTCCAGAAGCTGGACTAGATGTTCTGAGTCAGCAAAGTCCCCTATAGCAGCTCAGATTCACTCTGGTGCCTTACTTGTTCTAGTGACCTTAAAATGTGGCTGTGCGGCGAAGGCGGAAAATGGGGATGTCAGATGAAATAGGACAGAGGTTGTGTTTTTTGTTTTAAAAGCAATTAAACTAGTGGTATGTCTCCAGGGGCTTCCTTTCATACTACATATTTACTGTACGTCATCAACATGAGAGTGCGTGTGTCTATGCAGAGTTGGTAGGTTATTCTTTAATGGGTCTGAAGAATGCTCTATGTAACTAAGACCCCAATCTGGCAAAGCACTTAACTTTAAGCTCATGAAGAGTCCCACTGAAATCCTGCACGTGCTTAAGTGCTTTGCTGAACTTGGATCTTTCTGCACACTTCTCTGTGCCCATGAAAATGAGAAGTGCAAGTAGCCTGCAGTGTTTATGTTCTGACTGGGGAAGTGAAGTGGAATTGGAATACTGTTTCTAGATCACCGGCTCTTAACATCTCTTATACCAGGATGTTGTCCCCTTCCCCACTGTGGCGGGGCGAAGACTCACCGGCGTGGCGCCTCCTGCTGGTAGTCCTAGGAATGAGCTCTTCCAGTCCAGAGCGCCCTCTGCAGGCTGGTGTCTCACCTGCCACTGGCCCCATTGTCCCTCTCGGACCCCAGTGCCCTTTACATCAGGTTCTGCCCCCTAGCAGCAACCCATAATCTAGGTCTCCCCACCCAGAGGATTCCCCAACCCCCTATCCGCACCTTGCCTCAGTGGCTACTACCAGTCATCATCTAGCCCCCGCTCCCTGGGGCAGACTTCAGTCTGTAAACCACTCATCATCGGTAAGGGGGGTTGGACCAGCTCCCTCTGCCTATATCTGGGCTGCCCCTCTGCAGCTCTAATACCCCTTTTGTGGGCCCTTAACTAAGCCTGCAGCCTGGGGTCCCCATCTCCCTCTGCCCTTCCCCAGCACTAGTCCACCTCAGGTACCCTGCTCAGCTCCCAGGCAGCCAGGTCCTTCTCCCTCAAGAAGCTAGAGAGAGTGTCTCTTTTTCCGTCTGGCCCACCGCCCTCTTATAAGGGCCAGCTGGGCCCTGATTGCATTGGCTACAGCTGTGGCTGCTTTCCCAATCAGCCCAGCTTTTCCCCTGCCACAGCCCTTTCCCAGGGCTGTTGTAAGCCCTTCAGGGCAGGAGCGGGGTAACCACCCCGCTACACCCACCATCTAGCTAGAACACACTCCCACCATTCGCGTGTGCATGCACACACAGCAATATGGGAAGGGCAAAGTGATACGACCCACTCCCCATCCCCAAGGATTGCAATCCCCAGGTTGAGAACCCCGGGCTAGTTTCAGAAGCTCAGAAAGAGACCCCTCCAGCTAACTCCACAACAGCCAAGTGCAAAAAAACTACAAACACTTTTGGTGGGGGGGAAATGTGCAAAACAAAAGTCACAATTTAGTTCCAGGACATTTTGTGGTTGAGAAGTTTGATATTTCCCAAGCTGACCCATTTCACACTGAAGTGTGGGCAAATTTGAATGTCTGTTTTTTTGTTTGTTTAAGATATCAAACTATCTAGGCCTTTCCTCTAGTGTTTTTGGTTTTAATTACACGGTGAAATGAAATCCCCTTGTTGCAGAGCATTTGAAAACGTAACTGCTGGCTACAGCATCCTTTTGCAGAGAAATACGGAAGAAGAAAACTGTATTAAAAGACTCAGTTAAGAAGTTAAATAACTATTCTTAGATGGCTGCAACTGGTCTATCTGGTACAATTTCCCTCCATTGGTCCACTTCACCGCTGGACTGTCAGCATTCCAATAGAAGTCTGGCACCTCATAAGTAGGGGTCTACTTAAATCGCAGAGAAATCACACATTTTTCATGGGTTGGTACGGCATAAATAGCTAATTCTGTGGATGCATTATACAGTTACGAAATTTGCTATTTATGATGTGGACCAACCTGCAAAAAAATGTTTGATTTCTCCGCAGCATTTCTCAAACTGGGGGCCTCAACCCAAAAGTGGGTCGTAAGCCTATGAGGGGGTTGTGGTATTGCCACCCTTACTTCTCCACTGCTGCTGGCAGTGGCGCTACCTAAAGCTGGTTGGCAGGAGAGTGGCTGCTGCTGCCTGGTGGTGCTACTGCTGGCCATGGCGCTGCTTTCAGAGCTGGGTGCCCAGCCAGCAGCTGCTGCTCTCCATTCTGCCTTCAGAGCTGGGCAGCCAGAGACCAGATTTCATGGGGGAGATCAGATTTCATGGTCCATGACGTGATTTTCACAGCCGCAAATTTGGTAGAACCCCTACTCATAAGGAATGCTACTACCTCGTTCTACTAGCGTACAATTGGCAGGACCAACACCAGAGGCTTTAATACTCATCTGTGTATTATTTAGGCCTTGTCTACACTAAAAAAATTGCACCACTTTAACTATACCTCACAGATGCAGTTATATGGGTCTAAAGGGGCTTTATACCTATATTGCTGTTCCAATACGGGAAAGGGAACGAGATCTACTACTATAAGGCACTTTCATACCAGTATAACTGTGTCCACACTAAGAGCTGTACGTATAACTACATCAGTGAAAAATGGCACCCCTAACTGAAATATTTACACTGGTACAAAAACTGTGTGTTGTTTATACTGCAGTAGTACCTAAAATGTGCTAGGTTCTGTGTGCAGACATAGGAAGAAGAGAGGACAATCTAATTCAAAACCATTGATACCTAACTGCTAGGTCTGCCATTTCAGGTAGACCCGTGGGACGAAATAACAGAAGATTCAACCGTGGCATAGTGGAGGAGTGCTGTTTTCGGAGCTGCGACCTTGCTCTTTTGGAAACGTACTGCGCAAAGTCTGTTAAGTCTGAGCGGGACCTCTCGTCCTCTTCTCTTGTGGTCCTACCAGCACTAAGCAAGGTAAGTGAAGATTGTATCTAGAAATCAGCTGCTCTTTAAAAAAACAAATCCCACGGGAGAGGAAAGTTCTTATCTCTAAGATCTGCTGCTTCTGCAGTAACAACAGTACCTAGAGACCTTCATGGAACATAGAGCGAATATCTTGAATGGGGAAATAATGTAAAATAACCTGTCCAAAACAAACATATAATAAAGTGAGAGATCAGCTGACTAGATGAAGTAAATAAAGAGAGTAGGGTAAATAGAGATTAAAACTGAAAGGCAAGAGAGGAATCAAATGAGTTTAATAAGAACACAAAGGAACACCAGATCATCTAGAAAATGTGTGCTGGCCACTACAAAGTGAAAGTAGTTCAGTCACAAAAAGCGGTAATGGCTACTAGAGCAATAGGAAAGCATTGTAAGCTAGTGGAGAAAGAGGGAGACTGGTCATACGACTCCAGAGTTCTATTGCTGGCTTGCGTGACCTCTTTTGCTTTCAGAACCTCAGGTTGTGCAGGTCTGCCTAGCTGGGCTTCACTGTTGCAACAACAGCCCACAGTGTCATGGGGTTTTCAGCCAATGGTCTATTCAGAGTGACCCTCATTTTCTTTTTCCTTTACCACCCCACCCCCTTTCTCCTCTTTCAGGATAGCTTTCAAAAACCTTCACATGCCAAGTACTCCAAATATGATGTGTGGCAGAAAAAGAGCTCACAGCGCCTACAACGGGGAGTTCCCAGCATCTTCCGCGCTCGCAGGTACCGGTGGCAAGCCGAAGGGCTGCAAGCATCTGATGAAACCAAGGTGCATCGTCCCCTCATCTCCCTGCCCAGCCAGAAGCCCCTGGTAGTGCAAGTTTCCTCAGAAACATCAGGCAACCGGAAATGAACTGTGAAATGGATTCTATTTTTTTTTTTCAAATCTCCTGGGGGGACTTTTGAAGCCTAACTTCCCTAGCCCTTAGCCCTCTTGGCTGTGAAGCAAGAGGGATATTGCCTTTCCACCCAGAAGCAATAAAATGGGGGCACTGTAACGCCAATTTAAAGAGAACCAAACAACTGACATAGTGAGAAGGGGATTACAGCATTGTCAGCAACAACATAATTTCTGTGGCATTGTCCTTTAAGCATTAAAGTGGTTTTTTTTTAAACTTCTGTTTTGTTTTGTTCCCCTATCTACCCAGTATTTTCAAGCCCATACTTAAAAGGGACCGTTTGGCACTTGAACTATTTTAATATTGGGCAGGGCATGACATCCCACGTGCCAGCAGCAGAAGGCAAAAGAAAGAGCAAGAGCAAGAAAAAAAAGAATATGAAATTGAAAAACAGAAGAGTCCATTCCATGTCTTTCTTGACAATAAAGTGAAAAAAATGGGGCAAAATTTATTTGGAGGGGTTACATTTTTTCTCATTCCCACCCCACTTTTTTCTTTGGTATTTTTTCTTATTTTTGTAAAGAGCAATTTTTTTTTGCACCTTTACTTAAAAAAAAAAAAAAAGTAACTGAGAAGAAATTCCAAGAAGACCCATCTGAATTTATGTGTGTGTATGTGCTTAATTACAAGATTCCAAATCGACTTGCACCTTTTTAAAATCACGGATGAAGTGTGAGAAAGAGGTAAAGGAAAGGGGGAAAAATAAAAAAGAGGAAGTGAACTGATGTTCACTTTAAATAGAGGAGGCGTCTGCATTGCACATTTGCCACGGATTTAGTTGATTTATATATATAATATATATAACTTTTTTTGGCAAAAAGCACTATTTTTATGGGACAATTTTTGTGTAGTATCTGAAGAGGGATTGTAATGTTTAAAATGTGTTATGGTGCTAAAGTAAGTTGGAAGGGGGGAAAAAACCCAGAAATAGCAGGGGGTGGGGTGGGGAGGGAAGGACAAGATATTCAATACTGAACTTGAAATTGTAGCTTTTCGTTTTAGGAAAAGTGTGATAAATGTGTTTCTTTTCTCTTCTGAAATATAGCTTGGTCATGACCATATGAGCTAGTTGGTTGTCACTCACATACACAGATGCACGCACATGCAGAAATACGTCTATACGCATTTGTTTAGATCAAAAGGGAATTTTTTGAAAAAAGATAAACTATTCTGATGTTGTTAAAGTATCCGAGTTACAACTCTAGGCCCCTATTCTGCAAGAACTTAGGCCTGTGCTTAACTTCTCACCCTGAGTGTAGTTCCATCAACTTCAACGGGACTACTAATAGCTTGGAAAGTTAGGCGTAAGCTTTTGCAGGATTAGGGCCCTAACATTCACATCAAGGTTTGTGTGTCATTCATGGAGTCCTTTTTGGTCTCCCTCTACCACCTTCTCTCTGACTTTAAGGCTCACTGAGGCCCCAGAGGCATCCAATGGGACTATAGCCATGTTTGAAGTTGGGCACAGTATCTTGCTGAATCAAGGCCTGCATGAGTTTCCTCAGAAGCAATAGCTCCATGACTAATCATCTCCTCATCCCGCTCCTTCCCTTGCCTCCTCCCTTTTCAAAGGGGTAGGCGCAGACTCTATTCCACTGTGATCCCCGTATACCATTCCAGGACAGGTGGGCAGAGTGGTCCCTCAGGGAATATCCCCAGCCTAAGGGGTAGAGCTGGCAAAATGATTCTGTACCATCCTTCCTAACAAGCCTGGTATAGGGAGGATGGCATAGAGAGGCTGCAGTCAGAGCTCGCTGCACTCTGGTTATTTTCACTTTACGGGACCATGGAAAGTCTGACTGTAACTTAGAGCACTAGGCTGCTCTGATTAACACGGGAGATGGGGCAAGCCCCTGAGACAGCCACATAATTCCAGAGGTGCAAAGGTGGCTTTTTTGCGCCTAGTGCAGAATCAAAGCTGATGCCTAGATGGGAGAGAAAAGCCAATTAGCTTGCCAAGGCTCAACACTGGGTGAGCAAACAGGTGTGTGAGGTGGGTAGAGGGCTGTAAAATAGGTTGGTTTAATATATATAAATTCTGTCTAGGAACAATAAAAAGAGGGAAATCAACTACATTTCCCTCAGATATACTCTCACTTGCTAATAAGATGGGGACACTCTGTTAACTAGTCCTGTACTTGCTTTGCCTTATATAGCCAGACATTTAAAACTTTTTTTTTTTAAGAGACTACTTGAATTGTATTCTATTTTGTGGTTTGGGGAGCGAGTGGGAGGGACTGAGAAGGGGGAGGATATTAATGTATAATCCTTTTGTTTATTAATATTACCTTGCAACGTTGAGCCACAAAGCCTTTGTTTTTAAAAAAAAATGGCACTGCAATATACAACAAAAAGTAAATCCTTTATTTATTTTATTATTAAATATATATGAAAGAAAACTAAAATTGGTCCAAATTTAAAAGGTGGTCTGGGAGTGGGTGGGGAAGGCACAGAGCAAGTGCAAAGAACTGATTTTTCTTTTTGTGTCTCTTTAAAAACATAGTTTTTATTTTTAAAAAGAGGGGGAAATGGAAAAAAAAAAAGCTTTCCTGGATGCTTTGTACCAAAAATAAATATTTTTTTTAAAGTGGAAAATACCTATTAAGCAAGTAAATATCCATCTGGAATATGAAGCATGCCTTTTTTCTTTTTACTTTTATTTATTTTTGTTATTGGGGAAGGGGTGAGGAGAAAGTTGTGCCAAGGGACAATATTCATAAAGGCACAGAGGAAAATTCTTTAAATATCCTCTCTTTTGGCTCAATCCTGCAAGATACTACATATACTCTGGCCCTGATGTAGCAAAGCACTTAAGTGTGCACCTAACTTTAAGCATATGAGGAATCCAATTGAAGTCAATTGAACTCACGCATATTGTTAAACATATGCTTATGTGATTTTCTAGATCCCGCTGATGGGTTTTGCTAGGATTCAGCGCGTCACAAGTTTTGGCCCTTTCTAAGGACCCAGTAATAGCTGGAGTTCTGGCTCACAAGAAAAGATAGGCCTAAGGCACAAAAGTTCAGACTAAGATTGGGACTTCCATGTGGTTTGGGGTCTTGAATATTGTGGGCCTCTCTGCAGTTTTGTGGGTCGAGGTCACAGTTGCCGCTTTGCACCTCGTGTAGTCATTTGCACCAGTACAAAGTGGAGGTAAAATGCTACCACTCTCATTTGGTTGCAGTTTCCACCCATGCATAAAGTGTATGCAGGTGACGATAAGAGCCAATGGTGCATCAGTCCTTGGGTCCCAGTCCAGCAAGATACTCACACACATGCCTAAGTGAGCGTGTGCACAGTCCCTTTGACTTCAGTGGCAGTACTGTACTTGCATGCTTAACACTAAGCCACTTGCTTAGGAGCCTTGGTGAATCCAGCCCTCAGTCTCCAAGTGGAAAGGCTCATGAACTTCAAAACTGGAGCCAGCAGTTGAAGCACTAGAAAAGGCTTTTATTTGATTTTTTTTTTAAATATGCTGTAAGAGTGGATTTTCTGAGAGGTATTATTCCTCTTGTCCTTTATGAATATTCAACCAGGTTTTCATTAACATTCACCCAAGAGTAAGGGAAAGTGGATATTTTTCAGACATTTGGTTTAACTGTACCAAAAGATATTTCTAAAGGCTACAGCGACTCCTTACTTGGTTGCTGTTCCTTGTGTGAGCTGCCACAGGCTCAGTCCCTCCATGTTAGAGGGACTTTTTTAATGCTTCAGTGCTGAAACTCAGCAGCACTATAGAAATGGCTCAGCGCACAGACCTCCTCTCCTGCACTGTGTGGGCTGTTTACTCCATGGTAGCTCTAGGGAATAAGGGAAAGTTTTAACGCTTTCCTTGCTTCAGAAAGAGGGCTAAGGCATCTAGAGATGCTACAGAAAGAACCTAAAACTTCAACCAAACCTTTTCCTATCTGCGGTGCCTGGTTCCCACTGGGAGCATGAGCAGAAGTGCTGGAACTACCAAAAAAAATCCCTTTGGTGATGTTTCCAGCTCCGTATTGAAGATGCGAGAGGTTTGGTTCAGGTTTTGAGTAAACGTTCAAACTCAACCTTTGAAGTCTGGCCCATCGCTAACTGCATGTAGCAGGTGGAGCTGTGATGTAACACAGGAACTAAAAGGGGGTCCTGCAGCCCTAATTTGATCAAAATCTTCGAGTTAAACAAAGTACCGGTAGGTGCTTCTCCTTTTGGCTGGTTCACTTCACTTGGCCAGAAAGATTGAACGGGTTAAGCTACATGTGGAACTGGGCAATGCCTGGTACCTTTAAGAAGTGAATGACTTACCTTTTTCTGACACCTTATGTTGCCGGGGGCTTCTGTTTAGGGCATTGGACCAATTGGGCTAAGCTACAGAAATATTTTCTCATCAGTAGTGTGGATGGGGTTGGAGTCAAGATCCTGCAAGTGAGAACGAGAGGGATTTAAAATCCTATTTAGTATCTTAGCAGGTAGAAGTTCTCTTGTTAGTCCCACTATCTGATTCACCGTATCCCTATACCTTGCAGAGCACTGAGGTCTGCTCCAGGTTACATTGGTGTAAACAAAGTCAATGGGTTTATACCAGTAGAACCGATCAGAATTTGTCCTTGTGCTTGTCTGTTAACTAACTACAACAGCTATAGATCAGGTAAGGGGCCACATTTGCTTGTATGGAAAGAACCAACCTAGTTAGAATACTAAGAGACTTGAACACCCAATTCCCATTAATCGTTTGAAAACCTCTGACTAGAAGCTTAACCCAATTGGTCCAAGTCTGTCCCACTGATGACATGTCTCACACAGACTTTCCATGTGGAACTGTGCTAGTTCAGACAGTGCTTCAGAGAGCAGAGGGCAGGCGAAGGACAATTTCACAGCTTTTTGTTTCAGCAGAGCATCTGAAACTGCCAGCGCAATATGGGTTTAGTGGAATTCCTCTGGTGCCACAGAAGTAACCACAAAAATCATTTCTCTCCTCCCATCCCATTGCCATTCTGGATGATGATTTTAGGTATTGCTTCTCTGTAGGTTTGCAGGGGGAAGCAGGGCCAGCTGTTTTCACATTAAACACCTTTGTTGGGATTCATTTTCAGCATGATACACTGGGATTTTGGGGGTGCAACTCATTTATGGAAGTGGCACAACTAATTCTTTGGCTGCAGTGTTTAAAGCGTATAAGTTAGTGTCTCTGCATTTGGGGAAAATCACTTTTTATTTGTATACATTATTTTATGGCTTGTTTGCTGGAAAACACCAGAGCTGTTCTTCCAACCTTCTGTGCATAGCAATAGCACTTTAGGGATGGAGCAGGGCCCCCAACTGGTTCCATTGTCTTAGTATCGCACAATAGCTTCATCCACTTCATCCTGCCTGATCTCAAAGGCTCAGTCTTTTGGTGATGGACCTAGCTGCCTCTGCACTAAATGAAGGGAAGAATTGTATTTGTTGTTTAAAAAACTGGTTTTGTCATTGTATGTATTACTGTCCGCTCATGTTTTATATGGTGGGGGGTGGGTGGGCCGGGAAGGGTATTAATGTATCTTGAATCATTTCACTTGTGTGCACTCAGCCTAATATGCAAGACTCAA